GTCTGGCAATAACTCCCGTGCAATCTGACCTCAATTAACATAATCTGATATAACATGAACATGATCACTAAAATAACTTGAAAATATCACTTTTGCACGATAAACTGAATAGGCCGTGGCGAGCGCGCTGTGCGCCGCCGACGGCGATAGGCCGTCTCTCGACCGATTCAACTTTTCCCTCGGCAACTCAAGATCAACTAAACATGAAACATCATTTTAGAACTGTTAAGACATAAACCGCACGGACAAACTTGACTATAACAAGAGATAACATTACATGACTTGGGGCGGCCCGTGGCCATGCGCGACGTGCGCTAGCGACGGCTTTGAGCCAATTCAAGGATAGACTTCAACTTGTCTCGCCCATCATGAATCTACTGACTATAAAATTATATAAAATGACCATATAAATAATAATTGTGCGTGAGTTGCCGTATAAAATACGAAGTTACTCGATCATGACTTAATTAGGCCTAACCGAACCTATCATGACATGTCTATGAAATCTTGAAACATGAATCGAACACTACACCCTTAAATGAACTTATTGACATGAAAATGAGTTGAGGATGGCTTTACCTCCTCAATTGCTTGATAAAAAAAAACACAAGACTGATCGATCTTCTTGGTCCGTGCGTGCTTGCTCTTGTCGTACGGTACTCGCGGTGGTATTAATTTATGGAAAAATTCTTCTAACTCTCTAACTCACTTTCTCTGCTGAACATATAGAATAAGTGTTGAGGAAGAAGGTGGAAAATTCTCCCAAGTTCTTTCTTAAATACCAAGGCCGAGAGATGGAGTGATGAGGTAGGGAACTTGTGGCTTAACCTAAACTTGCCACTTGTAAGAAAATTAAGACATGACTTGCTAACTCATCACCTAAGATTCTTCATGTTTAAGAAAGGAAAGCAACATTTCCTCTAAGAGAAGAAATTGCTCACGACATTGGAAATTAAATGCCCAAAATCCGTACGACAATTAGCACTTAAGTGTGATTAAATTTTAATTAATCATTATATTACGCTTAGTTATTTAATTAAGCATAATGCTTAATTACCAAAATTATTCCGAACGTAAACGAAACGTCGAAAATAATTTCGGGTAATCTCGACTGAAAATAATTAATTCCGAAAATAATACTCGAAAATTTTATTATTTCGGAACTAAAACATGATTAACATGACGGGATATCGCTGACTGAATAATTAATTCCGGACTCATTAATTAAATAAGTGAATCGGAATTAAATTTGGAAATTTATTCGGTTACTCAAATAATTAAACCGAATAATTTATCGACTAATAGTCGGACTTGGAATGTAACTGACTGATTAACCTGAACTTGAACATGAACATGATTATTTATTAATAAAGGCTAGCTTAAAACTAAAAGCTAGTATTTCCTTTATTAATAAAATACGGGGCGTTACAGAGTGAATGGAAAAGGAACGTTGTGTTCAATCGTGTGTTTAAGCAAGACCGTAGTGTGTGTTTATCATACAACCGTGTCTAAGAGAAGGCCCTGAGAGCGTCTTGAAGTCACACTTATCGTGTTTAGTCGAAGGCCCCGAGTGCGCGATTATTCACAAGCGATAGGCAAAATCACAATAACCTCATCACGGCGCCTAGGCGCTCCTAAGCGGGCTCAGCAGAATTTTTTTTTTTTAAAATATAAATTACCTTATTTTGTTATCATGTTTTATTTATAATATACTAATATTATTATTTCGACTTAATTGTGTTGATTTATTATAATTTGAGATAGTTTATTTTATATGTACTGAAAAAAATATTTAATCTTGATTTCTAGCATAGTTTTAAATAGCGAATGGCGAGATGAGGCGATTGGCCCATTGCCTCGCCACGAGGCGAGGCGAATCGCCATGGCGAGGCCTCGGCAACAAGCCGTCAAAGCTAATATATATATATATATAAATATATATATATATATATACATTTAAGTTCAAGTACCAACAATAACTTTAAATATCCTAAAAAAGATAATATAAATTAAATTTAGTTGTAAATACTAAAAGCATCTAAAACTTAAATGTGAATAATAGTAACATTACAAAGCAAAAATATTGAATTTACACTGTGTAGTAAATATAAAATAGAAAAAAGTTAAAGAAGGCAAATAAAAAGTGTGAAATAAAAGTAAATCAAAGAAAAGATGCTGCACCATTTTACCTTTGACTATTGTCCATATTAGTAAACATAAATAAAGTAAAAAATGAACAGAGAAGAAAAAGAGATGGTAAAAACGGGAACGAGTAAAAGAGAAAGGGAGGAGGAAATGAAAAGAAAAGGCATACATCACCGACCGTCTTGGCGGTGAGAGATGGTGGCCAGAGTTCAGAGGAGACCGGAAATAGGATGGGTCAGCCATGGGTTTATGCAATTTTCAAATCCGAGAAGCCTAGAGAGTTCTTTCGTAGAAACCCTAGTTTGGGGAGAAGCCATTTAGAGATTTTTCACTGAAGTTTTTTTGCTTTAGATCTGTTTTAATTTTATTCTCTTTCCAAAAAGTGTCGCTTTTCTTTTCTTTTCTTTTTTTTTTAAAAATGGACTGCCACTTTAATTCCTCTGAAAGGCGCCGAGGCGCGCCTCACAGGTGCCTCTCGCCATGCGAAAAGGAGAGCCGAGGCGACCTGAAGTGAGCGCCTCGCGAACAGGGTCGCCTTAGGCAGTGGCGAGGCGAAGTGGCCCTCGCCTCGGTCGCCTCGCCTCGAGGCGTCGCCATTTTAAACTATGATTTCTAGGTCCCTCTAGTCGTTAAGCTAGTCAAGCGCCTAGCTGACACCTTAGACTATCCTTATCCCTAACCCAACCCAACCTAAATAATTATCCCCTCCACTTACACAACTCAACCTCACAATCAAATTTCCTTCGGCTACTAAGTGAGAAGGCTCCAAGCAGCCTAATAACGCATTAGAGGGGAGCTTGCTGCTTTGCAACCTAACTTTACAATCAAATCTATCTTTATCCACAACCCAACTCAACCTAAATATTTATTTTATGTTAATTTATCCAAAAAATACAATTGTGTTCCAAAATATATCAAGTGTGGTCTTTATTAGTATAGAATAAAAAAATATGAATTGTAGTATTTATTTTTTATTTTTTTTAAAACAAAAAAAATTGAATTTGACCAATAAAAGAAGGACAAGTGTCCATTTCTAAATACCAACCGGTTGCAACCTTGGGTCACATTGTGACCTAGGTTGCACAACCTTTTGCTTTTCTTTTTTATTTTTTTATTTTTCTTTTTTTTTTGTTTTAAATAGGTGACCCATTCCTTCAGGTCACCGATAAATGTACTCTTAGGCCTCGGGTTTGGGCACGGTCTCAACAACACAGTCGAAGGGCTAAATAGGATGGGCAGAAAAACAATAATTTTTTTTTTCTTTTTTTTTTTTTGCAGAAAAGTTACATTGAAAAAACATAGAAAAACAGAAAATAAGTACGACAAGCTAGCAGAAAATTTAAAGGAAGACAAGGGAAAAACCTTGGCAGCAAATAGGAAAAACCATGGAACAATGGGGCAAAAAGAAGAAATGATTTTATAAGTGCTTCCACTTTGATCAGCTAATGACCAGGATATCATTGTCAGAATTGTTA